TGTAGGGAGTGCTGAAGGATTCGTGCTCTGATGTCACTTGTGCAACACCTCCTTAACTCTTGTTTAATATTCAATTGATTCTTCCTTTTGCCTTTCTCTACTCATATCATTCAGTATTTATACTAGATAAAATAACTTCCCCAATTCCATTTGGATTTCATCACCAGACAGACAGCTAGACCATCCCATAGGGTTGTTACATACAAATGAACAGAGAACCATTAACTGTGCGTTTAAATTTAAATGTTTCTCTTTCTGCTTCCAAATCTGTGAGCCATTTTTTTGTGAGACAGTCAAAGAGCTGACGCCATCCACCTGAAGTGGCAAGGAAATTAATTTGTCTATGCAACATTAAAATAATCATCGTTTCCCATTAAAATATTGGAAAGTAGTATTTTATTGTTATTGCGTTTATGAAATTTTCCTTCACTGAAGATTTTCTAAGGAGCAGAGTTAAAAATCAGAAAATGTTACATTGCTTCTTTTCTTCCAAATCAAATCCATCCTACCAGAGCAGGAAAAAAAGTAAAATAGATCTAACTTTTAGGATTTTTAACTTGTTGGCTCCAGCCCTCCTGCTAGGTGAAGTATGGTTACTTACTTCTCTAATGCATTTCTGAATATTCTCCTGTTTGGAGAGTGTTCTCACGTGGCATCAGTTGACTGCGTTGCTTCTTTAGGTGCTCTTTTTTCTTTCCTTTTTTCTTTTTCCTTTCTCGTTTTCCTTGGAGGTGGTACATGGCAGCAGGGAAGGCCCTGCTCAGACTGCAGGAGAACCCACCAGGGAGGCCCCCAGCAGTGCCTTTCTGCCTAGAGGCGGGGGGGATCTTCCTGAAGGTCTGAAGGTCTTCCTAAAGGCCAAGCTGCTGGGGGGCTGGGATGTGAGCAAGGATGGAGTGGAACAGTTTCAGCACCAACTTCTTTTACGGCGCTGCTTGAAAACCAGTCTGTTCTATTGGTAGGAGTAGAGCTGAGAGCTGAGCTGAAAGTTAAGTTCTTCTTATACAAAGGAAATTGCCTTCCTCTCTGGCTCTGTGTATGAGCTTATATATCCCTGGTAGCCTTGAGGCAATAAGCCTGGAAACCTGCCAGCTCGCAGGGCGCTGAACTGCGTACCATAATGAACTTGAGAGCAAATCCGAGCAGGCAAATCGGGAGAGCGACCGGGATCCAGCAAGAACACTTGTATTAATCCTTTGTTTATAAAGTCTGACGCTCCTTAGAGATGACTCCCTTATTCATTGCCTCAGACTGTGAGAGAAGTATTGGCACTTCAGAAGTGTGCTTATATGTGACACGGAGAGCAGGGCAGCACTCAGATGTTGACAGCTTCGTGTTGATAGATCTGCTGTTCTCTGACCAAACGCCAATTAGGAATTCAGCCAACGTCCACCATTCCCCTCTATACTGGCCAATGCAAAGCAACTACTTCTTTTTTTCTTTATTTTGCTAACTTTTCAAAGCTTCTGTTCAGTTCTTTGTGGAATAAATGTGGGAAATGAAATGAACTAAAGCTGCTCTCATCCAGAAGGTAAATTCAGAGGCCAGTGTACAAATCAGTGTATCCTCATAACTTTACTTTAGGGCAGGACTGCGCCCTCAATAAAGCAATGAAACCCTTACTTTCAGAAGAAGGGATTCAGGTTCCTTGCCATGAAGTCTGAGGGAGTTGAGAGAAATGACTGTTTCCCTGTAAAGTCCTTTGGGAAAGCAAGAGGTGTAACAGTAGACTCTGCATTGGCAACATGCATTCTGAAATGCAGTCATTATTTTCCCAGCACAAAGCAATAAACAAATGATAAAAAGCAGAGTGTTAGCCCCCGAGAGGCATGTCTTCCAGCAGCCCCGTGCAGCCCACAGCCCCGCTGCAGCTGAGCAAACCCTCAGGCAGCATCCTGCTCCTTTTGATGTCAAAGCAAACAAACCCACATTTGTGTAGCTCTCCAGCCCAGAACTTATTTTGGTGCTAATTTACAGTTTATTCACATGCTGTTAGTTTTGGTAAAGGAGTGCAATAAATCCAGTCTTAGGAGAGCTGCTTAGGAGCAGGTTAACAGAGGGAGATGACAGGGGACACAAGGCTGGCTGTGGGTGCTATAGCCTTCCTCTGAATCTCAGTGGTGTAACAACTGGGTATTTTACTGAGATGTTACACTCTGGTGGGCATTTAATTTCATGGGTTAGGTTACTGTTCAGTGCTGGCACCCCAGAATCACCGCTGTTTGGCTCCATTTGCTCCTCTTATGGAGAGTGCAGTAGAGCCCAGCAACTGAGCCCATCACTCTGCCTCGTAGAGGGAACAGCACAACTGTGATGTGTTGCTGTAGAGATAGATTCCAACATGGTCAGCTTTCCTGCAGAACAGTGAATACATCTAACGTTTGCAAGTGGTAGATTCTGCTACGCACAAAAGAGCGTTTGTGTCAGGATGTGGCTTTCAGAAAGAAAAGGAAAAAAAAAAGAAGAAAGGAAGAAAAAAAGTAATAGTGGATTAATTGGAAAGGTCCAGAGCAGTCACGTTCCCTCCCAGATGGGTCGTTCATTTTGTTGCTTGCTGCTATGCAGCATCTGAACTTAAAACCTTCACAAACTTCATTGAAGTGAGAGAGACAGAGGCAAGCTGGCTAAACTTGAACGAAACTCCCAACCGCTTATGCTTTTATTGCAGGGCTGCTTTCTCTTGTCATGATAGTTTATAGTCCCTCATTAACTTCTCCTGTTTTATGGTCACCTGCGTGGACATTTCTGAAGGTACTCAGCTGATTAACAAAAATATCTCTAAACGTGGAACAGATGCTCAAGTACACGTGAGTGAATGCGCACTGAAAGCAGGACCGCCGTCCTTATCTCCCAATCATTCCCACCTGCACACCCAGGTGAGGATGCTGGTCTGCATCCCACCACATCCCAGGTCCTTGGAGGATGAGCCACATGGCTCCAATTAGGCAGAACCAACCCAGGTGGACCTCACCCTTTTGGACTGTCTGAATTTGAATGAGCTTTTAAATGGTTTTGTTTCAACTTCAGTTCCATCAGTGCCTTTTTTGTTGTTGTTCTTGGGAATGAAGAGTTAAAAAAATGAAGCGGATCAGCTCTTTTAAAGACATGTCAAATGATAAAAGCATAATAGGAAAAAGCTTCTTTTAAGCTACCAGCTTAATTATTAGGATACCAAAACTCAGAGAGAGGCATGAGTATTTGGCTTCTTGTCTACAGATCTGTTACTGAACCTCAGTATTTTCAGATTTTCCCATCGCTGTCTTATAGCTGTTCTTGGCCCTATTTACAAACTGAATCAACTGCACAGGATGAGTCTCTCGTCACTTGGGAAATGTTTTTTCTCATTTCTTTATTATTTGTTGTGTTTTAATCTACCCAAATATGAAAAAACTCTATATTCTGGATAACAAGATGAGAGCGGACGTTCAGTAAATCAAAGCCTTCTCCTTCTTGCTGTGATGTGTTGTGGGGCTGGGTGACAGCTGGAGCTGGTGCAAGCAGAGCAATGTCCTGTGCAGCATCCCCCTGCAGCAGGCGATGGAGCCTCTGCTGTCCAGCTGGAGCTCCCTCCTTGACCTGAACTTGTCATTGCCCCAGTGATTGGCTCATTCCTGTGCAGTCTAAAAGCTGTCGAATTCCTTACGTGTGGCCTCAAAACCAGGCATGGACTTTACTGAAGACTGAGGCTTGTTTCCTGTCCTGGCAGGGTCTTTCTCTGCTGATGAATACCATATTTTCCCTCCACAATCTGTAAATAAGACAGCACAGGTTTTATAAAATTCTAACGTTTTTCACGACTATGTGAGTTTACAAAATGCTGAAAGAAGAGAGGATTGGGGGTGATAAGGAAGGGACACTCCTCAGGAGAACTGGAAGGCTTTTTGTTTCCCACATGAAGCACTGACAGGAGATGTCACACCGAGGGAACCAAGGCCGGGTGGTTTCTGCCTCTTGTTACTGAAGACACAACTCGGTAAAACCCAGGAAAGCTTTCAGACTCCTGCAGAAGCTCCAACAAGCAGGGAACACAGCTCATCCTCAGCCTAGCCTGCTTGGTCCTACCTACAGATACCAAAGAGATACATTTGCACAAATGTCTGGGAAAAAGAAGAGAAATAGGACACACTACAGAGAGGCACTGTGCAAACGTTGTTTTCCAGTTCACCCCACTCCAATGAGATGTTTCTGTTATCTGCCAACCTGCGAGCAGTGGCAGCACGCTCAGTCCTTGGCCACAGCTCAGGGTTTCTGCACTGCTCTCTGCTTGTCCTGCAGAGCACAATCTGTGCCAGCCCACAGAGGAGCTTTGGTGGAGGAATATGGACAATTCACCTCTCACCTGACCTTTCAAAACTAAGTCTGGAGTGCAATTTTTGGTCTGGTTATTCTGTTTTCTTTTCTGCTTTTCTTCCATGGTTTAAAGCGTTAATTCTGCCCAACACAATGTAATTTTATTGAGCAATATGAGCCGGAGACAGAATCTTCACTGCCATCAGAACCCAAATGGTAAATAGGCTCTTTCTCTAATTCCTGGGATGTGCTATAACTCAGTTTGAATGTTGAAAGGAAATGGGCCTCCAGGGGAGTCTGGAGCTCTGTTCATTCAAGTTCTAATTAAAGTTTTCCCCTCTCAAGTTTCACTTTATTTTCCGGGGCTTTTGCGCTACGATGATTATTAACATGTGTCCCACAGCCCGGAGATCGTTATACCCTTCCCTGCCCCATATTCCAGAGCTGCCTCCTGCTGCAGCCCGGCTGCCTGGCACTCCATCCCAGAGCGTGCAGCTGTTGGCAGGCAGAGGCTGCCCGGCTGCTCTCCTGCAGCAGGCGTTGCTTTCCTCCAGTGCTGCTCGGTCGGATGCTGCTGTCCGGTGGGGACGATCCAGTCCAGGATTTCTTCCAGCCTTTTCTTCATGTTTCAAGAGCCCAGGCCAACTCTGGCTTCCTATTCCAACTCCAGCACGCTTATCTTTTTGGGGGCAGGAATTGTTAGTACAGTCTATCTTGCTTGCTGCAAGTCCTCCCTCTGCTGAGACATGCACTCCGGTGCCGCGTTCCTTTATTTTTTTTTCTCTCTGTCTTTTTCATGTTTTCTTCCTGTTGTTTTTCTTCTTAAATGTGTAAAGTGAAGAGTTCCTCTTCCCCCCTCTCCCTTTCCACTGCACAGAACAACCTCCCGTTGATTACACGCTGGAACTGTTGCTACTTTGCCAGAGGGGAGAGTGAACCTGTGCCTGCATGCGTGTATGTGTAAAATAGACAGAAAAATGTCAATGAACAGCAGGAAAAGTTCTGGGAGACCGTCCTACTACTATCGTCTGCTCCGGAGGTCACGACTTCAGAGACAGCGAAGCAGATCCCGGAGCCGGAACAGGCCGCTTAGTAGGGGTAATTGCAACGAAGTTCTGTTTAATTGGCAGTGCAAAGACAAACGTGCTGATGCTTACAGGTAGCTTCGTTCCTGTGCGTAAGAGTGACCTGAGCGAATGTAAGTGTGCCTGCTCCCCGTGCAGCGTGTGTGGGGCTTTGCAAAAGGCCATTGCTTGTGCTGCAGGGATGAGAGGGGAGGGAGAGCTGCTGAACGGAGCTGAGCTGGGCAGCCTGGCTGTAACTCCTCGTGTAACTGTAACTAATCCCATCTTCTCTGTTAGCCACCCATCGGTTATTTCAGCGTGTATAATTAAGGTAACCATTTCTTTCTAGCGAACTAAGATGTTTGGAGGCCTAATTGATGATTATAGATATTTGATTAAGAGATGGTATCTGTGTGCCAAGATGAATTGCTGGAACTTGTTCTCCACGGGCCGAGTATCACCAGGGGTTTCAACATTACAAAGCTGAGTGCAGTTTAAGGGCAGAATTTTTAGAGCCTGCGGGTTGTGCTCCAGAGGCACTGGGGAAACCTCTGGGACTTGTATTCCCAAATCACTTTGCTTTTAAAAATCCTGCTCTAAAAGGGCCTATTTGTCCTCATCAGCAGGAGTTAGGTCCACAGGGTAATGTTTCTGTAGGGCGTACTCACTCATGCAGCCCGTTTCTTCTACTTGAGGCAGCCACTGACCCAGATGCATTTTTAAAACTAAGCTATTCTGGCTCTCTCTGGCAGTGTGAGATACACGTCTGTTGGTGCTTGTGCCTGTTGTTAAAGCAGTCAAAGAGACGGGTGGCTCTGGGTCGTTCTGTGTTGAGCTGTCTTTGCAGAAAGGAAGATGAGGGCCGTGGTTGGCCTCCAGTGTGACAATCCTGTCATATTTATAAAGTCCTGAGCTCAATCAATACCATGAACTGACTTTTTAGTTGTCGTTCTTGTGTGAATAAATAGCTGTGGCAAAGAGTGCTTTGGCAACACCTCATGCTGCATCAGGTGTGTGTGCAAATCCAGGCTGGTACTTTGTCCCTGGGCTTAATGGGGTGTACCAGCAGACTGCAGAGCTGACCCCAGGAGTGCAAAATTTAACTTCACACAATGTGCTCTTCCTCCCCTGACTTACGGTACTTTTTCTGGATGTGGAATCATTACTGGGAAAACAATAGGAAGCTAAATCACTCCCCGAGCCTCATCCTTTCCTATAAGCAAAACAGAGTTTTTCTTTCCATGGTTTTGTTTTGTGTTTTTTTTTTTTTCTGTTCTGCCTGTCAGAGAGGAGTGTCTGTAGATCCACAAGTGTGTAACAGCTCCTCATCCCCCTTTATTCATATACTGCTCAAAACCAAAATATTTTACTGTCTTTTCAGTTACCAAGACAAACAAGATGTGTTCATTTCTCTTAGGTAACCCAGTATGAACTTATGAGCATAAATTGTCATGAGCACAAGGAATATGCAAGCAGATTTGATTGAAATGGAAATGAGCCCTAATGTTTGTAAGAAATTGGATTAGAACTAAATGAAATCTTCTTGCTGTTGATCCCTCCCTGAGTATTTTGTGTTTGTCACACGTATGCAGGATTCCTGCCTGCTAGGAGAATCATAATGCTCTGCACTCATTTAGCTCTTCTCATCCGTAGATCTTACAGGGATTTGCAAAATCTGGACAAGAATTTTCATTTCAGCAAGTTAAGCAAGTTGTGGAGGAATGGTGTTGGGCTGCAAGGTCCTGGGGTGTGTAGGGCCCAGTGCAGGAGCTGGAGGCGGTCTGGGCAGAGTGAAGGAGGAGTAGAATGCAGAATTTTTGCCAGTGGACAATTGCTTTTGGTTTTAATGTCATGATAATTCCCAAAGCCTACAAGCCTGAACAAGGAAGGAACTGAGGATCACCCTCTCAAGTACTCATATGCAGTGTCATTTCCCATTGCTAGCTAAGATGTTCAAAGACCAGATATTCTTAATGGAAAGTTATCATAATCTCATGAGTACTGGAGAGCTTTTACAGGAATCGGCTGTGGTCTGTCTTGCCACTTGCTTGTTTCCAGGCCGTTTCCTCAGCAAGTCTCTCTCCCCTTTGCCACAATCCTTCCACACAGAGCACCATGAATGCTGCTGGGCGCTGCAGCAGTGAGGCCCGCAGGCTGAGCTTCTCCACGCGGTGCTGCCCAGCAGGCCGGCAGCAAGCTCTGGGCCAGGGGGCTTGCTGGGGGTCAAACAGCTGTAACACATTTAGCAGGAGGAGGAGATCTCTGCTGGCACACGTCCTCTCCGGCATCTGGAAGCGCTCGCAGCACCGCACCAACCGCGGATGCGGCTCCCGGGAGGTGCAGGTGCTGCCATCTGCTGCCAGCCCCGCTCCGTGCCACTGCGCTGCGGCGCCGGGCCGCCGGGAGCCCGCCTGGTTTGTGTCTGCCAGGCTCTCTGAGTAAGGAAGAGGCGGTGTTGAAACGCACGTGCTCAGATTCTGCCGCTTCTCTCTGCCAGCCCGTCAGGGGCAGAGGCAGATCGCTCAGCTCGGAGTGTGGCTGCGGGATGCTGCTCGCCCGAGGAAGGCAGGGCCGGGCTGCGGCCATGAGGGCTGGCTGCTGGGGAAGTGGGTCTTGCTGCGAGGGGAGCAAGGAAGAGATGGCCGCTGCCTCAGGAAAGTGTGCTGCAGTGCGTGTTAGATAAGCAGAGTGAACAGAATTTGCATTTTCTATGCAAGTCTCTAAGGAAAGTTGGGGACTGCGTTCTGTTGGGACTCCAGATGGGCACGATCTGATGTAGTGTGCAGAAAAATCTGTCTCACTGCCAGGTGTTTGCAGTGACAGCCAGCTTATTTGATGTCTCATATGATGCCATCCTCTATTCATGGAATTCAGAGTTCTCTGGCCAGCCCTGTTGCCCAGGGCACGTTCATCTCCTGTTCATCTCCTGTTCATCTCCTGTTCATGTGCCCAGGCCTGGAACAGCTGGGAAGGGCTGAAACTGATGGGGTGGCAAACCAGGCCAGAGCAGGGAGGCATGCTGCTAGGAGGCTCCAGCACACAGAAATTCCTGTAGTCTGATGATGGATAAACAGGACACGTTTCACTCCACTGTTATATTTTGTTACAATGATGATAATGTTGGATATCTCCTGGCTCTGCCTTCCGCCGGGATTTGGGCATCATGTACTACAGGTACATTAGTTAGAAAGACCTATAAAATCCCCATATCTGCCTATGACCATCTGTTCAGCTCGGAGATGTGTGTAAATATGTGAGGAATCATGGCTATAATTATGATTACTACCAGGTGATCCATCCAATGCAGCAGAAGGCGTTGGGAGGCAGAGAGGGCAGAAGGAAAATACTTCAGCATCAGGATATATCAGCATTCAGAAGCGTCACCTGCCTCTGCCTGCTGTGTGCTGCTCTGTGGCCCTTTCCTGCTATCTCTGCCACTTCTTAATTACGGCCATAATGATGAAGCAGGGCTCAGGGGCAACTGTTCTGAAAATTCAGTTTCCTCATGGAAACTGCTGAGGGTGCTCCATTCACCGGCCTCAGATCCAGCTGCTCTGCAGGCTGTGTGCTCTGGAAGCTCAGTATTTTTGAGTGTGAGGTTATGTTTCTGATCATTTACGAGTAAATTGCTTAATTATTGAATCATTTATTTAAAAACTGGAAGCATTGACATGTTTTTCTTTATGGTAATAATAGTTGTTGTTCCAACGTGCCACAGAATGACATGAGGAGGCTGTACCCAGGCTTGCTTTCTAACTAAACCACACTGAAAATTCATGCAACCTTCTCTCATCTTGTCATAAATGAAAATATGTTGTACACTATATTTGCATATTCTCCAAAAGGAGATGCTGTGGAAATAAGGAACTTCTCCATCACTTATTCTTCTCATTTGTTATAAGTGATTTTTTTGCCCATGATTAACCATCTCTCCTAAGAAACCGCCTTCTGTTGCTAATTTGTCTCAGTGGGACCGAGGCAGGAGGCTGTCTGAATTCTTAGTCAGAAGAATTAGAAATAGTGATTTGAATTGAATGCAGCTTCGGCTTCAGCTCTTCCTTCTGTAGAACTCTGTAGGCGATCAGCTGTCGTCATACTGCTGAGAACTCAATAACAGTTTGATTTCCTGATCTTGAAGGTTTCGTGTTTCTTCTCAGATACAATCACAGAATCATACAATCGTTACCATTGGAAAAGGCCACTAAGACCACGCAGTCCATCCATCACCCACCACCACACCTGCTGGTGTTCTATCTAAAAAGCATCAGAGAAGCAACTGCTTCATGTAAGAGCTGGGAGTGCTGAGCCCAGTTATAAACGTGTGTGATGGGATTCTGTAAGCTGGACTGTTGGTGAGAAATATTCACTGTCAGCCCTTCTATGTTTAGCAGCAGTGCTCCAACTGAGACGTTGCTGTATTTGCTCCCAGAATGAAAGAAGCCTCAGGTAGATGCGTTCTCATCTGACCAGTGAGGTGTTCAGGGATGGCTGTGGAGTCCTACAGGTGGTCAGTGACAGTGGTGGCACCAGCTGCAGGAGCTCTGGATTCTTCTCTGACTTTCTCTCTGCCCCAGGGTAGCAAGAGAACGTGGGAGTTTTGCTTCTCTGAAATCTTAACCATAGTTCCTACCTGTAAGTCCCACTTGTCCCAGAAATGGCATCTGTAAGAGATAAACAGAAACAGCAAAAGTCTGGATGAAATTGTCAGGGTTGTCAATCCTGCTTAAGAGTAGCTTAGGAATTTACTTTCCAAGGAGCAGCCCACTTAATCCCGTGGCAGAAATTTGGGGATTTTCAGCACTTTTTAGGCAACTTGAAGTCTGACCATTGTCTATTTTTGCTCATCTTCTGCTTATCTCTTTTCCACGTCCCTTCCTTCTGGTAGGAGCCTCCCTTTCCCCCGGCAGCGTTGCTAGGAGGGGCTTATTGCTCCAAAAGGAAATAAGCAGCGGAGTTGCTCCCAAGCAATGCAGAATGAGTTGTTATCTAAAAGCTACAGGTAATAAGTGAGAGAGGTTAAAAGCCCGGCCTGCA